AGCAGCCAGAAAACCAGAAGACACTTCTTGAAAGAGGGACCTACAGGAAAAATACAAAACAACAAGAGCAGTCCGACTGTAACCACAAGAACAAGCAAGCTGTCTGCCCAGGAGACACCAAGGCAAGTGGTTGGGTCCTCTCAGTGCAAATCCTCCTCCAAGACTAAGATGCAAGGGGAAAACGCATTCTGATTGGCCACCACTCACGTCACCCATAAAGAGAAGTAACCGAAGAACATCAATGAAGCAGAGAGCTAAACCATGCATCGTTCAGCAGACTATGGTGAGCTTAGGTGGAGACCTGGTCGGCCAGCAGTGAGGCAAGACCTGGGGACTTATGGACTCAGAGTCAGTGACACATCCACAGAGGACTAGAGTGGAGACCGAGGCAACCAACTGATAAGAAGAGGGCAGACAGATGCAGGAACACCCACACCTGCAGATGATACCCATTTGCCATGGCTCCAATGATGGGACAAACAGAGCTCAACCTGAAGAAGACAGAAGAGGAAAAAAGCGTCATCTGATACAATTTGATAAACTGGACATCCACCTATGAATGCAGCAGTCCAAAAGAGGAAATAAATCTCTTCTCCAAGAACTATTCCCACCCCCTCCACACGAAGAGTAGATAGGGGTGGCCATCTTGAACACTGACTAACCAAAATGGGAGAAGGGATACAAAGACAAGAAGTGACTGGCTTACAAGCTATCAAGAGGAAACCTAGATCCACAGGGCGGGGAGGATGGTAGAGTGTCCAGTGAGTAGTATCCGATGTGTCTAGGAAGGGCAGATGAAAAGAAATGCAGATGGGTCCCTTGGGATGCAAGGGTGAATAATTGTTACCAGGACTGATTGTGAGGACTGGAAATGTAAAGGTGGACATTTTATAGCAAGGAGGGGAGTGATTAACCTTTCAGTTGAGGAGCGGAGGGCCCTGGGAACATCAATGGAGAAGAGCGGCGAGTGGGACCCCACCCAGAGGAGCAGTGAGGCCTGAGACTGAGACAGAGAGGATGATGTGAAGAGAGAGGACGACTTGAAGAGATGGAGTGGCTGGGGACTAGGGATCCGGAGAGGGAGAGGGAGAGGGGCTGTTTGCTGAGGACCATGAGGGATGGGCGGACAGGATTGCAGGGTGTACCCTTTGGTTGGGTGATGATGCATGGATGGGATGGTAACTATGGCAATGAGATGATGTATGATGGAATGAATGTAAAACTAATGTTCCCCGGTGTAGACTATCACACAATACACAATAAAACATTTAAAAAAAAAAAAAAAATGTATATATATATATATAATGCCACAATAATCAAGAAGAACGAGTTTTGCATCATATACTATAGAAATGTTTTCGGCTAAGCATGGTTACATATTTGGAATACTTATTCAAATATCTAACAAAAACAAATTTCTGTTTATGTTTAAAAAAAAAAAAAGTTTATGGCTCCAGCGTATATAAAATAATCAAGGTACAGTGAACTCATGGCAAGCACTATATCTTCTTAGTTCCTGAGAAAGGTGTGACTGTTTATTCATGACCTCTAACTTAGGTTATCTATTCTGGAGCATTTCAGGGGGGTAACAGGGAGAAAGGGACCCAACATTTACAAAAGTTTAGGTGACAGAGAGTGGGTGTGGCCCAGAGATGTGAAGTTCTTGAGCTTGTGGGAGGGCGGGTACGGTGGGTGATGGTGAGAATTGAGGTTGTACAGACTGCCCAGGGCCCTGAACTCTCTTTCAGGAGTGTGGAGCTTATTTTAAGAGTAATGGGAAGCCACTAAAGAGTTTTAAGTAGGGAGTGGCATGGTCTGATTTGTATTGTATTAAGAGTCCTCCAGTTGCAGTGAATGAATTTTAGTGTTCCAGTAAAAATACTCTGGTTTCATGGCTGGAGGGAGGGAGACCAGACAGGAGACTAATGCAGACAGAAGATATCGGTGATGTGGGTTTGGGTGACTGCAGTGAGGATGAAGAGAGAGAGAGACAAATTTGGGCGATCTGGTGACGGGACAAAAGAAGAGAGGAAGTTGTATTTTGTTTCCTCCCTCTGTCAATGTGAGATCTAGGATAGTGGCCTCTGGGATCATTTCTCAGTTCTTCCATTTATGAGGGCAAATGACATTATGTACTGCTGCCCTACTTCAGAAGAGTCAAAAGCAAATACTTTTGGACCTTTGAGATGCTCAAAAACTGAAGGAAGTTAGATTAGGCGTATGAAGTGAGCTTATGGTAAATGACAACATTTGGCATTGGAACGAATGACTCTCGCTTGCTCCGGTTGCCTGCTGGGGTTACCAAACCTCTGCTGTGATTTTGGCCAGCATATGCAGGCATGATAGAAATGTTGGCAAGCGAGTGTTTGCAGCTTCTGCAGGTTTCTTTAGAATGCCTCAGTAAGATTAGCCTAGTATTCTGTCTATATTGATTAGATGAAACTGAGCCCTTCTTTTTCCTCCCTTTTATGTTTCCTGGGAGCCTTAAAAAGGATTTGTGAGAAGAATTAGAACAAATAGCTTTTGTCTTTAACGTAAAGTTAATTTGAAATGCTGGATATTTGATGTGTTCCTTGACAGAGGGGGATTCTGAAATAAAATGTGTCCTGGGAAGACTTAGGGCTGAGAGGATGGAATGGCAAGAATTATTTCAAATCAAGGTGGATAGCATTTAAAATCATATCGATGAGCTCTTTCTTTTCATCTAATAGTGTACGGAGGTGGAAGTAGTGGGGCACTTGAAATCAAAGCTCAGTTTGAGGAATGAATCCGAGTGGGCTCACGAATACCTACCCCTCTTGTTTGGTCGAAGCAGCCCTTAGGTCTGGTGACCCACTTTGGCATGTATCTGTTGCAGAAAAAGTATATAGTGGTGATGTGTTTAATGTGTTGATGATGTTATTGTAGATCCAGGCTGAATGTGATGATGATGTTATAGATCCAGGCTCAAATCCTGGATCTATAACAGTATTGACAGCCGAATAGGTTAGCATATCAGAAATACCTGAATGACACCATGGAATTGTAGGAACCGTGATAGGCTTTTGACTTTAACTTCCCTTTTGACATGAGTTGATAATGGCTGTGATTCCTCTGATTCAGGCGTGACCCTGTGGAGGTAGGGAGAGTAGAATGTCATATTCTTTCAACGAAGCCATGTTGTGAGCATCTCTATCCAAATAGAACGCTAGACCTCTCAGATGGAAACCAACCAACCGTGAGTCGGGATTGAGGACAGGAATTTATGAGGCAAAGATAACAACCCACCTAAGAAGTTCATTGAGTCGTATTTAGGTTCTCCTTTAAAACTTCATACTTGTTTTTATCCCACCAGGAGTGCATACTGTGCTGCTTCAGTGGCCTCTCTGACCAATGTCATCACTCCAGACCTCTTTGAGGGCACTGCTGAATGGATAGGAAGGTGAGAGACGCGGTCTTCTTTTTTTTAATGTTTTATTGTGCATTATATGATAGTTTACATGAAAGAGCTTTAGTTTTACATTCATTCCATCATATGTCATCTCATTGCCATGGTTCCAATCCCCTCCATGCATCGCCAACCAACCAAAGGGTATATCCTAGGAAACTGCCCCCTACCCTTCCCCCACCCCACCCCCAGTTTTCAACCCACAGTCCCTTTCCCTCTCTGGATCCAAAGTCCTCTGCCGCTTCATCACTCCACTTCATCATCTCTGTCTCTCTGGGTAGGGTCCTGCTTTCGGCTCTTCTCTGTTGATAGTCCCAGAGATCTCCGCTCTTATCCTGGAGAATTAATCACTCCCTTCCTTGTTACAAAACGTCTACCTTTGCATTTCCAACCCTCACACTCCGTCCTGATAAGCATTGTTCACTACAGTATCACGAGTTACCCATCTGTATTTCTTTTCATCAGCTCTGCCCAGAAAGATTGAATTGTACCCAGTGGAGATTCTGCCTTCCTCCATGCTCCCTAGGTCTAGGTTCCCTTTTGAAAGCTTGTAAGCCAGTCACTTCTTGCCTTTGTAGTCCTCCCCTCCCCATTTGCCCCATTTGCGTATCCAGTGTCCCAGTTGCCCATCTCCCTCCACTCTGTGTGTGGAGGGGGTGGGAATGTTTCTTGCTGTAAGGATTTGTTCCTTCTTTTGAGTTGCTGCTCCATAGGTATAGGTCAAGTTCAGAGAGACGCTGTCTTCTTAAACAACAAGTGGTCGCATGTTTCATTCTATGAATACAGAAAATTTAAAAGCCCTGTAAGAAGGGACTGTAACACCACAAAAGATATATTATTAGATTTCCAGAATTATACATCTTTTCAATACTTAAACTTTGTTTTGTTTTCCACTCTTTGTTTAATGTTGTATGATTTTTTGATTGGCTAAGATCAGAAACTTTGATAGCAGGCTCAGTGGGAGTCTACATTGACTGAGCCAGTTTGGAGAGCTACTTGACAATTTCCTAAAGTTGCTTTTGCAAGTGACCTGATATTTCCACTCCTACAGAAACGCTTCTGGGCACGCATAAGGGAGACAAGTATATAAGTCATTTATAGTAGCAAAATGCTGCAAATTGTTTCCATAAGTATGTGATTGGATGAGTATGTCATGGTATAGTTGTATTGGAATATAATGGAGCAGGTAAAATGGATGAACTAGAGAGCTACTACTCTAGCAATAGGGATCAATATAAAAAATAGTGGAGTAAGAAAAGAATGTTAAAGAAAACATGCATTTAATCAATACACTTAATTAAAATTTGAAAGCATGCCAAACAAGCCTTGTTTGTGGGCAGAATAATATTTAATAATATAAAAACACAAATTCAGGATAATGGTTACTTCTGTTGAGGAAGCAGGAAATGAGGTTGATCAGGGGAGGGGTACACAGGAGGCTTCAGATTCTAAAAGAAACAAAGTTTCTTTTGTTTTTTTTTAAAGGCCTGAAATAATATGAGGGTCTTCAAATGTTCCTGGGAAACCTTAGTCCACAAACTTTTTGAAGCCTGCTTGTATATGGTTACATCAAAGCTTGGTGTTAGATACATAGATGTTCTATATATTATCTGTGGTGCTCTCCTGAATGCTTTGCTGTGTTTTATTATAGAACGATAATCAGTTATTTGGTTTTTTGCTTTTACATATTTATTTTTATCAAAATGGTACTCATTACTATGTAAATATTGTTTACAGCTGACCTAGATAACTTGTGTTCCTGAAGTTACTCATTCCCTCTTTGACTTCATCCCTAAGTTCTCTGCTAAAGCTATCCAGTCACTCAACAATACAGTCAAATACTTCCAGTTGTTAGTCTCTGTGGTGTGTAGTTGGGTGTTTCTGTGGTTTTTGGTCCCCCTCCCTTGGAGCCTTCTCTCCTCCTGCTTCATTCTGGACAAGTTATTCTCAGCTTTCTGCACAGCAGGCATCCTGAAAGGAGCTTCCTTTCAGCATGAAATACGCTTCACTTTTCTCCTTTGTTGAAGCTCCTCTCTTTTATTTTTTGGTGTACTTATTTTAATGAAGCACATACTCCAGTAGATGCTAGAAAAGGACACCTGGGAGATACAAATGTATTAAGATTTTTCATGTGTCCTTATTCTACTCTTCATATCTGATTGAGAATTTATTTTGTTTGTGATTTTTAAGTTGGTGATTGAATAAACTGAATTTTTCAGAACTTTGCAAGTGCTGTTTCTTTATCTGAAGGGTCCTGGTGGCACAGTGGTTAAAGTGCTTGGCTGCTAACTGGAAGGTTAGCGGTTTGACCCCACCAGCCACTGTATGGGAGAAAGCTGTAGCAGCAGTCTGCTTCCATGACAGAGTTGCAGCCTTGGAAGCCCTATGAAGCAGCTGGCCTCTGTCCTGTAAGGTCACTGTGATAGCAGTGGGTTTACCCCATTCTCTTCTAAGCTTGTGTGTCATTGTTAGTAGCCCAGTTGGTAACCACTACATTACCAGAGCTCCTTGTCATTGTTACTGGGCTGGTAATAATAGCCAACATCTATTGAGTATTTACTTTGTAAGGTAGCTTTAGAGATTGAGAGTATAGCTGTTCAAGCTGGACTACCTGTTTTTTTTCCTTCTATTATTTTCTGTCTTTCAGCTGAAACTCCCCATGTTTTTATTTATTGTGAGTATATTTTGCTTCACCTCATTGTGGTTATTGTTGTTGTTTAAGTGCTGTCGAGCTGGTTCCGACTCATAGCGACCCTGTGTAGGATTTCCAAGGAGTGGCTGGTGGGTTTGAGCCACTGACCTTGAGGTTAGCAATTCAGTGCTTATTTGTTAGCACTGTGAACCCACTGCCATCAAGTTGGTTCCCATTCATACTGACCTTGTGTACAACAAACTAAACACTGCTTGGGACTGCTTCATTCTTTTTTTTTTTTTTAAATGATTTATTGTGAATTATGTGATAGTTTACATGGGAGAACATTAGTTTTACATTCATTCCATCCTATATCGTCTCATTGCCATGGTTACAATCCCCTCCATGCAATCCTTCCCCCGTGCCCCCCAGGTCTTCAGCACACAGTTGCTCTCCCTCTCTGGATCCAAAGTCTCCAGTTGCTCCATAGCTCTACGTCATCATCTCTGGCTCCATTTCAGGCATCACTGCTTCTCAGGGTAGGGTCCCACTCTTTGCACTTCTCCCTTGATGGTCCTCGGGACCTCCGCTCCCAGACCGAAAAGTCAATCACACCCCTCCTTGCTATAAAACGGTCTACCTTTACACTTCCAACCCTCACAGGCAGTCCTGATAACAATCATTCATCATTGTATCACAAGAGACCCGTCTGCATTTCATTGCATCAGCCCCGCCTAGTCAGATTGAACACTACTTACTGGAGATTCTACCTTCCTCCAGGCTCTCTGGGTCTAGGTTCCCTCTTGAAAGCTTGTAAGCCAGTCACTTCTTGCCTTTGTAGCCCCCCACCCCCCATTTTGGGTAGCCAATGGGACCGCTTCATTCTTAAACAATGATTATTTCTAAGCCTATCGTTGCAGCTGCAGTGCCAGTCCATTTTGTTGAGGGTCTTCCTCTCGTTTTTGCTGATGCTCAACTTTACCAAGCGTGATGTCCTTTTCCAGGGTCTGGTTTCTCCCAATTACAGGTCCAAAGTTTGTGAAAGAAACTCTTGCCATCCTCACTTCTAAGGAGCATTCAGGTTGTACTTCTTCCAAGACAGATTTGTTCCCTTTGCTGGCACTCCATGGTGTATATTCACTGTTCTTCACCAACACCGTAATTCAAATGTATCAATAATTCTTCCGTTTTCCTTATTCATATTCAGTATGCTGTCTGATTTCTTGACTGCTGCTTCCATGAGTGTGGATTTTGGATCTGAGTAAAATGAAACCCTTGGCAACTTTAATCTTTTCTTTCTGTATCATGATGTTGTTTCTGGTCCACTTGTGAAAATTTTTATGTTCTCTATGTTGCGTTGAAGGAATTGGCAAAGAGCAAGGCACCGGGAATTGATGGAATAAAAATTGAAATCTTTCAAGAAAGTGAGGCGGCACAAGAAGCACTCACTCATCTCTGCCAAGAAATTTGGAAGACAACTATCTGGCCGACTGATTGGAAAAGATCCTTATTTGAGCCCATTCTAAAGAGAGGTGACCCAACGGAATGCGGAAATCATCAGACAATCTCTTTGATATCCCATGCGAGTAAAGTTTTGCTACAATCATACATTGACAGAGAACTTCCAGAGGTTCAAGCTGGATTCAGAAGAGGCTGTGGAACGAGAGATATCGTTGCTGATGTCAGTGGATCTTGGCTGAAAGCAGAGAATATCAGAAAGATGTTTACCTATGTTTTATTGACTACGCAAAGGCTTTTGATTGTGTGGGTCATGACAAGCTGTGGACAACATTGCGAAGTATTGTTCTCAACACTTAATTGAGTACTCAACACTTAATTGAGTATTCCAGAACACTTCTGAGAAATCTGTACCTGGACCAAAGAGCAGTTGTTCGAACAGAGCATGGGAACACTGAATGTTTTAAAATTGGGAAAGGTGTGCGACAAGGTTGTGTTCTTTCACCATACTTATTCAATCTGTATGCTGAGCAAATAATACGAGAAGCTGGGTTCTGTGAAGAAAAACGTGGCGTCAGGATTGGAGGAAGACTCATTAATAACCTGTGATATGCAGATGTTACAACCTTGCTTGCTGAAAGTAAAGAGGACTTGAAACATTTACTGATGAAGATCAAAGAACACAGCCTTCTGTATGGATTGCATCTCAATGTGAAGAAAACAAAAATCCTCACCACTGGACCAATAAACAACATTCTTATCAACAGAGAAAAGATTGAAGTTGTCAAGGACTTCATTCTTCTTGGATCAGCATCAACGTTCGCGGAAGCAGCAGTCAAGAGATCAGACGATGTATTGCATTGGGCAAATCTGCTGCACAGGAACTTTTTAAAGTGTTGAAGAG